CGCTTCCTGCTTACAGCTGAGTTTTGTCAGGCGCTCCCTGTTCATCCACGCCCCCTGCCCCCTTTGCTTGACTTCTGCTCGTCGGGATGGACTGTTCTTGAGCTTGGAGGAGGTGATTCTTGGAAACTGACCAGCTCTTCTCGACCCCTCTTCTCTCCAGGACCATCTCCAGGAGGATTCCTCCAAGCCAGTCCCTGAGCAGTCCTGCTGCCCTGAAGTCCAGGGCTGTGATCCTGCTTTCTGCCTTTTTCCCTTCTCTCAGGATCCTGAGCTCCACCGTCTCATGGTCGCTTCGGCCAAGGCTGCCGCTGCTCTCCGCCTGCCGGACCCGTTCTTCCTTGTTTCTAAGTATCAGGTCAAGCAGAGCATCTCCCCTCCTCAGCCTCTTGATCGATGTGTCAGGAAGTTTTCCTCAGCGCACTCCAGCAACCTCTTGACTGGCTTGTGCCGTGCTCTGTTGCCCTCCCAGCAGACCCTGGAGTGGATAATGTTCCCCAGGAGGACCGGGCCCTGTGAACACGAGGCTCCCACCTGTCATCTGGAGAAGGCCTCATCTTCCTCTTCTTCCTGATCAAGTGGTCTGCAGCAGACACCCACTGCAACGTTGCCAGCATTGATGCCCATGCTTTCTCGCTGCACTCTCACATAAAGGGCAACTTCCCCCTCCTCGTCTTCCCAGTCTGTCCTTCCTGAAGAGCTGGTATCCATCCACGGCAGCCCTCCACTTGAGTTAGCTGTCCCACCACATCTGCATGATCCCCATGAGATCATAGCCTTGCAGCTGCACACAGATCTCTCATTCCTCCTGTCTGATTCCCAGGTGGTGTGCATTAGCACATGGACACTTCAGAGAAGCACCCAGTCATGCCGATTTCCTGGAAGATGCATGAGAGCTGACTCCATGATACTGTCCTGTAGAAACTATATTATTTATGTGCACACACTTGAAGTGGTTCCCTTCTATCTTGTATTCTTGACCACAAGATCTCTCCTGATCACACTATCTTGAATCCCTGGCTTGCGAACCTGAACCGCCACTTCCCTCACTTGATTATTGGTCATTGTCTCCTTCCCCTGTCATTCCCAGTATAAATCTCTCCTGCTCTCCAGGACAAATTTGCATAATCTTTTATTCTAAACTCCTTGAAAATTTACTGTTGACTGAACACAAGATTACCCAAGAGCATAATCTAACCATACAGTGAAAATGTAGCACTAAAATCTTTCCTGGAACATAATATTAGATAAAGATATTTCATTCACTGTTAGAAACATCAAACCTGATACATGCTTTTACCTCCTGCACTGTAGACTTGACTGAAGTACTCAGATCCTTTAAAAATAATTTTCAAGTGCCTTCAATAAAAGGCAATAGTAAAAGAGATGATTTTCTCCTCCTACACTGACCTGCTCAAATGTGCAAATACTGAACTTGACAAAAAACTCTTAATTTTTAAAGGTAAGTTTAACCTGTGAAAAAGGCAATTGAGAAAGTGTAAATAAGTATAAGATCTTCACTCAACAATGATACCAAGAAAACTGAGAGTTTTGCCTGGCACACATTGCTTCACAAAAATGAAAAGTTCGAATCCCCTTAGCTTAGTGTTCGATAGAGGAAAGTGCAAGTGAATTATTGTCTACAGACCTCAAGAGAGACTGAACTGTTAAACCATCTTAATGATAAACAAAACACAACTTTACACTGGAAGAAGTTTTCCCATTAAATTTCAAGAAAAATACATAATATTTGCCACTAGATGGCTCCTCTGAATGACAGACAAACTTTATACCCTTTCCTAGTAATATGCTCTTCCTCAAGCTGTTGAAAGAACTGGGGTATTAGCAATAGGAGATCCCTGCAGCTATCAGCCAAATACATAGGTTTTTGCAATTCAGAAGGAACTCTGCCTAATTTTCCAATGTTAATTACTTTAAGAATCCTTGTGATATTCCTTCACAGAACTTCTGGCACATTTGCTTTTACTAAATTAACATGATGTTTGTGAATAAGAAAAATGAGATAAATGCTCTTCTTGATTTTCTCCTCATAAGCTAACTATTCCCCTCATTTAGGAACAACTTTCACCAGTGCAAATAGAAACAGTTTCATTTCCACCACACCCTCCACAGGATCTCACTTAATGCTGAGATAAGTCTTAGACTTTTGGTTCCATTTTGTTATTATTTAAGATATGACATATGAAACTGATTACTTAAGTTCTATTTACACCTATGGCTTCCACCTAGTAGTCCTTCCTTCTCTTTCCAGAAAGAGCACAAACCGAACTCTGTCCTGCTGATTAGAATATTGTTCTTCCCAGCGCATGTTTTGTGCCCTCTGCTCTGTATTTCAAGGCACACAACACACTACACTATAAATAAGCAATAGCTATGATCCATAGCTTAAGCAGCTAGCAAAAATTTCCAGAAAAGAATCCTGCACCCACCTGCACGGTTCTCACATTGAGCCAAATAGATGTTTGTTTACTGCTGTTCCTCTACTGAAAAATACACCTCAGATGAACATTTTAGATAAACAAACCCACATTTGCATCTCTAGTTGATCAGGCTTTTCCTATGATAAGAATACTTTTTCTCTAAAACACAGGTTACATTTTCCATGCTCATTTAGCACAGAGGGATCGACTCCCCTCCTGTCCTACACCAATCTCCTCTTTCTATCAGTCAAAAGAGAAAAAGGAGGTAGCAAATTTAGAGGGGGAGGGAAAGGGGTGGTGATGAGGTGTATGAAGAAATTGTCTTTTCACTCTCTTAACAAGCAGGTGAAGACTACTGAGTAAGACTGGGAAGATGAGATGCAGGAATTCATCTGCTTCACCAAGAGACAAATAAGGAAATTCAGTTAAATCCTATTTCCCAGAATGCTTCAAATAAATCAGTTACACAAAAGCCTGAAACAAACTTCTGTGATGTTTTCTGAGCTGGGGCTGACCTGCTGGAAAGCAGCTCTGCGGAGAAGGACCTGGGAGTCCTGGTGAGCAACAAGTTGACCGTGAGCCAGCAGTGTGCCCTTGTGGCCAAGAAGGACAATGGGATCCTGGGGTGCATTAGGCAGAGCACTGCCAGCAGATTCAGGGAGGTGATCCTGCCCCTCTACTCTGCCCTGGTGAGGCCTCCCCTGGAGTACTGTGTCCAGTTCTGGTCTCCCCAGTACAAGAGAGACATGGAGCTCCTGGAGTGAGTCCAGCGGAGGGCTACAAAGACGATGAGGGGACTAGAGCCTCTCTCCTATGAGAGAAAGAAAGGCTGTTCAGCCTGGAGAAGAGAAGACTGAGAGGCGATCTGATCAATGTGTACAAGTATCTGAAGGGGGGGTGTCAAGAGGATGGGGCCAGACTCTTCTCCGTGGCACCAGCCCCACGACAGGACAAGAGGCAACGGGCAAAACTGAACCACAGGAAGTTCCATCTGAACATGAGGAAAAACTTCTTTCCAGTGAGGGTGACAGAGCACTGGACCAGGCTGCCCAGAGAGGTTGTGGAGTCTCCTTCGCTGGAGGTATTCAAAACCTGCCTGGATGCAATCCTGGCCAATATGCTCTAGAGGACCCTGCTTGAGCAGGGGTGTTGGCCAAGATGATCTCCAGAGGTCCCTTCCAACCTCAACCATTCCGTGATTCTGTCTTCAAACTAAATGAGATTTTTAAAAAGTATGTTGAAACCAGGTAAGACTCCTATTACAATATAAAGCAGATTCTAATGTACTAGTAAAATTAGCATTCACTCTATGCAGTTTCTGAACAAAGGTATCCATAATCAAACAGGCCTATCTTAAGATTTGGAAGGGGGGGTGTCAAGAGGATGGGGCTGGATAAGTACGAACTGAAATACACTGGATAAGTACGAACTGAAATAACGTATAGTACATTCACTAACACTGGAATTCATCCTAAATCCTTTGCATATCTTACAATTATCACTGAATGGGAAAACAAAATCCTGGACTGGGCTTTCTATCTGAAAACCTCAGCTTCCTCATCCAAACATTTGTCATCTTTTAAAGGAACAAGGAGATACCAGCGAAAAAGGGAGCATGTAAGAGATAACAGCTAAATGCCAAAGAAGAATTTCAATTAAGCAGGACTGAGATGTGGCTTAAATTTTAAAAATTAAGCTAATTATTTAATTTAAAAAAAAGAGAGCAGATAAGCAATGCACAAGGGAGAAGGCTATGAAAAAGGAGGGAAACTGGTAGACATAACTATAGAGTGATTTTTTCCATCCCTCCTAAATCAAGAGCTAAATACAATTTCACTCACACATCTTATCTGACCTCTCTGAAACATGTTTTATGGATCTCTAAAACATACATGAGAGTGGCAAAGTACTAAAAATGATCAATTAAGTTAACTAAGTACTATTCAAATAGTGAGGAAAATATAACTAGGCTAATAGGGCTAAGATTTTTTGAACAGTTGTATGTCACATTTCCAGATTTTTTTTTTTTTTAAATTATCAGTATCAATACTAGGTATTTATATAGCTGTGTGTTGCTTGCGCTAGAACAAGTTGCACTAGCAATCAAAGCTCGTACTGGTTCTCTTAGGTGCACTGTCCAATGTCTTTTTTAATGTATGTATATAAATATATCTATCAGGCTTAAACCCTTGATAGTACCTTGAATAGATGAACTGTAGGGCCTGTATGTGGATCAATTTAAGAATGTGTAAGTCTGGCAATAAAAGGGTAACACAGCTGGTTTACTGCCTTATCATACACATGACAAAGTGATATGAGGGGCATGGAAGTGATACTGCTTGCAGTAAACTTAGAAATCATGCAAATACATACACAGAACAGGTGAACCTGAAACACAGATATTTTCTTTCTTTTGCTTCAATGCCGTGAAACTCAAAGGAGCTTGATGGTCATACTTTGTAATTTTAACACTTCAAACTCTTAAATAGCTATTGAAGTGTATTATGCAGAAGGTAAGTGATAAATATATTAGACATGTAGAAGAAAAAAATCGAAACATACCTCCTCTATTTCCATTCTCTTCATCCTAAGGGAAAAAAAAGTGCACATTAAAAATTCACTAAATGAAAAAATGCACAGACGCCTACAAGTTATGAAGGTTTCATGTGAATTTGTAAGCTTAAATCTGCATTCTGATATTTTGCCCCTTTTCACAAATATTCAACATTACAATATTAGGGTTTCAGTCTGAAAATTGTAGCGTAAGGCCTGTTTGCAAAAGAACAAACACAGTTCCACAAAACATCCCCACATAACCAACCTGAAAGGGATTATGTGAAAACAAAACAAAAATGCAAAACACTGCCATGAAGTGTAAAACTGCAGCGTGTTGCAAGTATGTTTCCATTCTGAAAGCCAAGAAGGAAAGGTTATACTTTTATCATCTAAGGACTCAAAATTAAATAATTTTCTAAGAGCTGTAGAATATTTTGTAATTAAGATCTGAATATTCTTCCTGAAATCTGAAACATCAGGTTTGCTTTGCCTTCAGTACTTCTGCCTAGAGAACCTACCCAAAGTACTTTTAAAGTTACAACTTCAATGAAGATTCTCCTTCTGCTCATTGCACTATACACAATTGTAACTACCATGTATCACTAGTAGCCTTTTAAAAGTGGGGGGGCACATAACTAGAATGTACTGAGGGAGAAGGGCATACTTAAAAACAGCAAGTAATTATTTATTTCATAGATACTTTCTTGTCAGTATTTTAATATGAATGAGGAGCTGTTGAAAGATCATGCCTACTCCCTTCTTCACCAAAATTCTACCATTTAGAAACTGCAATGTTAAACAAGTTAAAATAAAGAAAAATGTGCTCTCTTTGAATCATGACTTTATGGAGCAGTGAAGTTTCAACTTAAATACAATTCCTTAGACTAATACATACTATTTGGAAAGTATTTCTAACCATTCATTTCACCTCAACTAATTAAAAAAGCCTCATCCTGAAGGAAGTGAGCAAAAAGGAGATAAGCACAGAAATAATCTTCACCTGTATACTCTCTCCCACTTTTAAATGGACTATATCCAATTTTCTAGACCTTTTGCATTTAAAGAAAAATCACTCTCTCTTTCATATTTTCAAAGCAGTTGCACACTGATCTGAGTAAACTATTTGAGAGAGGAAGAAAATATTTGAGTAGTCTTTCCTAGTTGGAATACATTTCATTTGTGACATACAGAAATTCAGTATAACCTATACCTCAAAACTTTACAATAGTATAGAAATTACCAGTATGTCTGCTGGAGCTGTAAAAAGATACTATGCAAAGATAACTTTTTTAAAAAAAGATGGAGTTAACAGAGATCTCATATCTATTCTATTTCTAAAAAGCCCTGAAAATTATCGTTATCACCCAAACATTGGAAACAGCAAACAGCATATCAACAATCTGGGTAAAAATGCCATACTAGTAGTGAAGTACTGCTGAAATTTATCATTATATCCCTTGAACCCTTGTACTAGTTCAGTCTGTTTTCAAGTATGATCCAAAATAACAGCAGCAAAGAATTAGACAAGGTTAACATCTGCATGTCTCGAGTGTCCACCCAATCTACCAAGTAAAAAACAACTTTAGGACTTTGAACATTTCAGCTCATATTCTGGAAACTATGGGTGACACCTAGGAAAGCGAGTACCTTGTGTGATGCTACCAAAAAAACTGATCACAGTGAAATCAGTTAATGTAGAATTGTTACCATTTATGAAGTACTGCAAAAGTTTGTCACTGGGAATGCAAAGCTCTATCATAAAACACAGCTGCAAAACATTAGTTTTTCATGGTACCAAGCCAATGAGCTCAAGCCTTTAAAACTGGAATGCTTTACAACGCAAATGTTTTGGAATTAACTTCTCTCCTACATTTACCTCTTACACATTCCAAAATGTTAGTACACTTTGCTTCTATACGTTCTTTATAGTGAAGGTTTTCTTTCACTTGTTAGCTTACCAGACTGATTTAACTTGGAGATGCACTTTGCAAGCAAAAACGTGTGTTGCTGACTAACAAATCCTAATAAGCATATATGACATTCAGAGGATGGAATAATTCAGGCTTCTTTTTGCAATATTAGCTTTGGAAATCTTCCACATAATACCCCTCTGCTTTCTTCAGGGGAAGGAGGCATGGTAAGCAAGGACATATGATGAGTTATTTCTCAGTTTGGATCTATTCCCCAATTCAGTTTGGTGTGTACCAACATAGCCAAGTATTTTTGCGAAAATAAAACTTCTGTTAAACTGCAGTCTCAGTTTCCAGGATCACTTTTCACATAGGTTTGTGTGACCCTTAATACAGAGTTGTCCTTCCCAACAGATCTACCATATAACACTTTCTTCCATAATCTTCTTCTATCATAATAGCTAATTAACGAAGATTAAATTGAGAAACAGGCAAGACCATTCAAGAGAACTCATTTTTGTTACACAGGATTGTTTAAATATTGGTAAGTCTCACCTTTCCTTTATATGTCACTTGACTTGCAGATAAATTAGTTGTTTTGTGCAGGAACCATGAAAGGTATTAGAACTTAGTACAATAACCTGAATTTGACAAAGATCTCCAGTCTACGGGGACTCCATCATACAAGGACTGTAATCAGCTAGTAACCAGTATGATGTGTGCTCAGATAAGAATGAAGCAGAAAGCAGATTTGCTCCTTACCAATATCAGGTTGATTATAGGTGAATTTTGTTCTTTTTAACAAAATTTGTACCTATTTTTGTTAGGTACAAAAATATCTGTTGAAGCCACACTATAAACATCCAAGATTAAAAATTTTGAAGATCTGTTCTTTTTTTCTACCACCACAGGGATGTTAAAAGTAAGAGGAGAGAATATAAGGGTCCAGGTCAATTTACAGAGGTGATGAAAATGACGACCAGGGCTCTGTCCACCTGAACCATATCATCTTATAAGGTAGCTGAATCTCTGAAAAAAGCTATTACAGTTATTCAGCAATATCATGATTTTCTTTCTAGAAACAGACAGAAACTAATATGAATAAACCAGATGCTAACGAATCAGAGAAGGAACAGAGATAAGAAAGGTGCTAAGCATTTTCTTGCTGAAAAACAGGGGGCCTAGATCTTCATGAGACATATGTCTTGGGATTAACAGGTATCAGACTCACTAGACTCTCTT